CCCTGACAAAATATAAGCAAACTGCTACAGCTAAGCAATTCAATGACAAAAGCAACTAATCCAAAAAATCAACTGTTGACTTTTGATGGGGTGATTAGGGAAGACTTCTACTGAGGAGATGATATTTGGGCTCAAACCTGAATCACAAGATGGAATCAGGTGAGGATGTAGGAAGAGCCTTCCCGGCAGAAGGAGGAATGATTGCAAAAGTCCTGAGGCAGAGATGAGTTTGACAGGTTCCCCAACACTCTTCTCCCATGGTGGAATCAGTGTGTCCATAGCATTTCTAGGGACTGTAATGTTTGGGCACAAAAGTGAGATATTTGAAGGCATTGGGAAGAAATTTTTTTTGGTAGCTTTCTTCTAAAGTCCAGGCTTTTGGAAAAGGTCAAATGAGAATGTGGGAAAGAAAAATTAGCAATGAAGGGTGCAGCGTTTATCCCAGGATGGAATCTGGCCTGCTGGGCTATCGCTTAAGACATTTAAGATGCTGCAATGATAAGGTTTTTGAAGTTTTTAAATTTTTATTTTTATTTTTTAATACATAAAATTCTCATAAGGCCTAGAGATTTTTTAAATTGTTCTTTTGGCCCATAAACATGTTAATATGATCAAGAATATTTTAAATGTGAAAGGGAAAGGAAACAAGAAAGATTATCAAATGAATGATTACTTAAGAAGAAGAATATTTGTGCAAGAGGTTGTCTGCAGTTGCCAGAAGGAAAAAAACAGACGCTGACAAATATGTAGAGAATAAGAGTTGCCTGCAGAGATGTGTGTGTCCCCGTGTGTGTGTTTATATAAATACATTCAAGAAAGTAATCTTAACTTTATAACATCATTAAATGACAGGAGCATAACAACAAAAGGCTATATCTTTCTTTTATAAATAAACCTGGTAGAAGTGGAAGTGAGTTAGTACTGTGTCAAGAAATCATGGAAAATTTTAGCAAAATTGCTGGAAAGTTGCTGGAAGTTGTTGGAAAATCTTCATAAAGATTTACTTCTTTTCTGCATGATGATAAAAGAAAAAAAAACTACTGAAAGAAAAAAAGTAAGGTATTCTGAACCAAGACTTAAAAAAAAGATGACTCAAGAGTAATGGGGAACTTTCAGACATGAATTTGTGACTCTATCACACCACTGATGCCAGTTTGTAGATGTATTTGGTAAGTTGCTGCCAGTAATCACTGAGGAATTATAGAAGATTGGGAAAGATTGTAGTGTCATCCAGGGTTCATGGCAGGAGACAGAAACATTTAAAGTAGGCAAAGATTAATACGGTAAATTGGGTGCTTGCAAAATCATTGGAAGGCCTGGAGAAGTGGCCTTTAGTCTGGGCTTCTTGGAATGACTCGCAGACACGAGAGAGCTGAGTCACCAGGGGACCTCCCACCTCTGAAAGTATCCTAGAACCACTGAGCTTCCAGTTACAATACATGCATGATTGTAACTGAGATTTAGGAATCATAGAGCTGAAACTGTGCGCTTGTTACTATTGTTGTCACTACTCCATGATGCTGGTGACTGGACCCTGGTACCTGGAATCCACTGTTGCCTTTGCTTCGATTCCTTTTCTCACCCCTGAATTTGAAGAATGAATGACTGCTTGCAGAAGAAAATTTCACATTGCCATGAGACCTTACTTGCCAACCAAGAAATGGTAGAAGATGACCACCCTCACTTTTGCCTTACAAATCTCTCATAGTTGCATCTACATGGTAGGACCTTATTGGAGTCCAGAGCACTAGCTGCAAAAGCATCTGGGAATTGTACATTTAACTCCCAAGTCTCTTCCATCCAAGAAGACATGATACAGGGTGGCAAATGGAAATTCAGTGAGCCAAACCACGGTATTCCATTCGGGTATAGACAGGCAAACATTCTTATTCCTTTAAAGGAAAGAAAGAGATAAAGAGACATCTGCTTAGCTTGACATTGGTCTTAGTATTGGTTAGAAAAGACACCCTGTGAGCCATTAAGAAAGGATGTAGCAATCACTGGGAATAAGGGTTCATTAAAAACAAATCATACTGGATAACTTATTAAAGTGGTAAGTAATAGAACTATATGGCCATAATGTATCTAGATTTTAACAAGGCATTTGCCCTAAAATTCTATATGATGGGACAAACTTGGGAAATGTGGTCAAGATTGTGACATAGTTGAATGGATTTGTAATTAGTAGAAAGATTAAAAACTGATGATTTGTAGATAAATGTCCAATTGTAGCACATGCCATAGGAATTTCTATTTTATCCTGACCCACATTACACAATGACTCCAACAAGAAGGCTGATTTTAAAAATAGCAACAGTCATTGTTTATTAAGTGGTTCCTCTAGATGAGGCACTATAGATACATTATTATCTCTTCTACTCATTGCAATAATCTTGACAGGCTGTTATCTCCATTTAAATGTGAGGAAACTAATACCAGAGAGTGTAAGTGGCTTGCCCCTAGCTCCACATCTAGGAAGCAGCAGTGCTGAGATTCATACCTAACATAGCTTCAAGGAAGAGGTAACAGAGGGAGGGAGAAAACCACAACATTTCTGGGAGACACGGGTCAGAACGTGCCAAGAACCCCAGAGCATGGCATTTTCTCAGCCATTCCACATGAAGTTGGAAGCTGGCCCACTGTCCTGCAGGATCTGGCCAGTATCTCAGGGACTCAAACTGACACTGACAAACCTTCACTAAAGGCTCCATAAAAAAAACAGATGCTGATTCACTAAATCATGAGAAATGCAATAAATAGTCAAGCTGGCTAAATATAGGTAATATTCCTGCATGCAAAAATCTGAGGGAGAGCATGATCAGAATGTTCACCCCAGAAAATAGAATCAGCCTCATGAGGGGATGCTGGTCAGAATGCTAACTGTCTACAGTCTCTGCCAATCACAATACAGATGTAAACATCTGCCTGGCTGACTGGATCCCTGGACCTACATGGAAGGACACTTCTTCAATCAGACAGTGCCATAATTTGCCTTTCTGATTCTGTTCTAGGCTCACATGACTGATTGCTATTCTTTCTATAGATAATTTAATGACTTCAGCTAAGTTGTTTTGGCCTAAAATTTATTCTTTCTCTTTAAGGTGACTGTTTCAATTGATTTCCTGCTGATACAATTTCTTAACTTCAGAAGACAAGTTTTATTCCTGTGTTTCCAAATTCACTGTGGTTCTTGGGCACTACTGAAAAGATGTAGGTCCTTTTGACTCTTTACCTGTGCTGCCATTGGTAGGTTAACAAGAACAGAAGAATCAGTGCTGACATGAAGAGTTTGAAAGCAGCACAGGTTTTTAAAAAGAAAGTATTTTTAATTAACATAGGCTCACTGTGAGTCAATAGTGTGTGATATTGTTATCAAAGAAGTCAAGACAGACTTAGCTGTATTAACTGTGTCAACAGAGTGAAGGAGCTAGTGAATGAACGAAGAAGTTGACAGTTGTACCCTAATCTTCAGTGACACTCCATGCCTAGACTAGCAATGTTTATTTAGTTCAGGATCCACATTTTCAGATATCAACAGACTGGAATATATTCAGAGGAAATTGACCAGATGGTGATAGGACCTGAAATCACATTCTGACAAATGGTGGTAGGACACTGGTGATATTTAACTTGAGAAAGAAAAGACTTAGGGGAGAAATAAGAAAAGTCAAGAGGTATTGGGTACTTGCTTATAGATTAGGCCAAGGATTGTTTTCAGTCCCTTAATGGATTTCAGATATTATGCATTTACCATAATGGAAAAGCGGATACTCTTATTTCGAGAGTTACTCTGGTAGGCAGAGAAAGTCAGTAGAAACCACAGAGACAACTTTGCTTATTAGAATGATGACATTTCTAACTCTCAACAACATAATGAGCTGCCTTGATTGTAACATATCATGTTTTTGGAGATGCTCCAGTGGAAACTGTCCAAACATTTTATGGAGATATTTTGGAGGAGAATAAGTATTAAATGGAAGAATTAGTATTAAAAGGAGGCAGGGACCAGATGAACTATAAGACCTTGTCCAAACTTATCCTGCTAGTCTATCATTATCTTATAACACAGTAACCCCTTTTTGATCTTTTAGTTTAGTGACATGAACACTGAATGGTTAATGCCACTTCCAATTCAATAGATCAACTGTAGGGAACACTGACTGCCGCATTCCTTCCTGGCAATTAAGACAAAATCCAAAACCATCTGAAGCTGTAGGGATGTGGGTGCAGAAAGTCTGTGAATGAGTCATTAGGTATAATACAAAGAGGAGACTCACTTCTTTCTTTGATCCCCAGACCCATGTATTCTAAGTGTGGGAGAAACAGTACTGTATATGGATTGCTTTTCAAAGCATGGTTAATTTTCACTCTCAAATAGTTTGAAAGCTTCAAATGTTAGTAGCATTCATTTCTGTCTTTGTATTTAAATGCAGTTATTTATGCTTCTAAAAAACCTTTGATTGCATACCTTATTTTGAGCTTTGTTATTTTTAATGTGCACACTTCAGCATCAACCAACATGTACATTCATGGCAATGAATGTCATACCTTAAAATCTGGTTCCTGTAAATGGGAAAGAATAATGTTCACTTAAAATAACCAAAAAACAGTGGAGTTTTATAGCTAGAGAAAACCTAAATATCACATATTATTAGATGAGAAATTCAAGCTCAGAGAGATTGAATGACTTGCCACATTCACATGACTGGACCAGTAGAAAGTAGAGCACTTTTCTTTTTTTCTTTTGTCTCCCACTCAAGGAGGCAATTATATGCCGGGGTTTTTTGGCAAGATACTCTTCTTTTTTGCTTTTCCTAGCAAGTAGAATGGTTTGATACTAGTCACTTCTAGATCTTTATTTACAGCCTGATTGGCATGTGACCTGAGGAGAAAGTATCAGAGTAGGATTCCAAAATAGTATTTTATTTACCCATATCAGTAGGCAGAAATTCTAAGGGCTTCTTTGTTCCTAATTCTGGATTGCTCTTGGATCTCTGCAGTGCTGCGTATGATGCTGTTCTTGACAGAAATGTGGCCATTAAGAAGCTCAGCAGACCCTTTCAGAACCAAACGCATGCCAAGAGAGCTTACCGGGAGCTGGTCCTCATGAAGTGTGTGAACCATAAAAACGTGAGTTGTTTTTTTTAAACCTCTGGCAGTGGGAGGTTGTGAGATTGGAGAAAGAAAATCCGTGTGCCAACTTGAGTAGGAACGGCTTTCTTTGCTTTGTCATTTCTGCCTGTTAAAATTGTTTATCCTTCCATATGCTACATTTGATTTCATTGTCCTCATGATAGCTTTCTGCTTAAAACTCATCTAAAAACCGTATGGTGTAAGAGGGGATAAATTTAATAATTTCCTGCTCTGAAATTAACCATATTTGGTTATCTTGCTCCAAATTAACCAGAGAGCTCCATACTTTTTCCAAAGTAATAAAAAGCAAACAAATACAAAGCCAAAAAATATCCTACAGAACACTATATTTCTTTGTAATTTAAATTTAATTATTAGCAGGTGAAAATTTTTATCTTCTTTTTCTTTTAGCTATAGTCTGGCAGTCGCCTTCAGATGTTCACTGTGCTTCAGCATCTTGTTTTTTGTCAGGTTGGGCCTATGCGCAGGAACATGTCTGCAAAGCACATCAGGACAGGATCATCAAGAGCATTTCTCATGGGAACTAAGTAGGGTATACCATTATAGGACTTTCTTCAACTTCAGAGTATAAACTTCTTCCACGGCAGACAAAGACTTCTGGAATTCTTTCTATGCTCCCATTCTTCTTAGTAAGGCTACATGAGAGATAATTCATTATTTTAATAATAACTATTATTAATAAAGAATTTATAAATATAGTGCATATAATTTATTACATATAAATATATAATGAAAATCAATGATAAATTATTATAATAAAACTATAAGAATAGCTATCATAACTCCCTGCAAAGTTTTTCTTAAGCATGAAAGTCACACAGAATATATGAAATTATCAGTGTAGTTTTATAAACAAGTGAATTTGTCATGAGGCTAACCATCTCTCACTAAGAAGAAGCAAATGTATGTATGAGAGTTTAGTTGGAAGATATTTGAAATACAAGTATGTGGATTGTTTCTCCAGTGACAGTGTTTCTCTTTTCCTCTATTACTCCAAAAACTTTGTGATTCAGCCATTTGACACATATTTGTTAAATAAATGAAATGTGCCCCATGTATAGATCTGATGCTAAGATTACCATAGTGGAGATAACAGAGGCTAATCCCTGGCCATGTGGAGCTAATGTTGTACTTAGGGTGAGAGAAAAAGACCATCTGAAAAACAGATAGGCAAATGTAGAGAATGCCAGATGGTGATAAGCACAATTAGGGAAAACAAAGTGAAGAAGGAAAATTATTCTGGTCAGTGCTGGGTGGGTGGGTTTACTTTTTTTAAAATAGACTGAGCAGGAAAGGTCTCACTAAAGAGGTAAATTTTATGAAGTATGTACCTATCTCTAATTTGGCCATGCAAAGAACATGGTACTTCTAAAAAAGAATATATAAATGATAGAAAGGATGATTCATAAGAAAAGTCATTCTACTAAAGCAATTTGTTCTTTCATATGTTAAATAAAGGCAGGAACAAGATTAACCACATGTCCAGTGCAATCTATTTTTATGATAGCAGAGAAAATGAGAAATCCCATGGGCAGAGGAAAATGGATAGATGCAAGCGATGAAGCAACTGTATGGGAAATTTTGATAGTTTGTGTTTTCATATATTTATATTTCCCTGGTCTTCCTTTCAAACCCCATAATGCAATAAATACATTGTAGAGAAATTCCCATGTACTTGGCGAATTTGAGGGAATCATACTCCCTGTTCTTGACTGAAATGTGGAGGTTCACATTTATGATACCTAAAAAGAAGTTCCCAATTGAAAGGATTATCTGTAAATGGCTTTCTACCTGCTACCCCCCTTTTATGTGTGTATGTCCATGTGCATGTGGTGTATGTCTATGGAAATAAATTCCTGGAACTTGTTAACAGAGAGGAAGTTCACGTACAACCAAATGTAAGTCCCACATTAGTACTTCTAATACTAAGTAAAAGCAGTCAGAATGTAGAACTCTGTAAATGCTGTGGAAAGTAAAGTAAAACAGTGAAGTAATCCCAACTAAATCTTTTTTTTTTTAAAGATTTTATTTATTCATTTGAGACACAGAGATACAGAGAGAGAAAGCATGAGCAGGGAGAGAGGCAGAGGGAGAAGCAGGCTCCCCGCTGAGCCAGGAGCCCAATGTGGGGCTTGATCCCATGACCCTGGGATCATGACCTGAGCCGAAGGCAGACACCCAACCATCTGAGCCACCCAGGCGCCCCCCAACTAAATCTTTAATAATAGAGAAGAGAATCCATTAAGAAAATGAATGCTTAATTCTAGGAAGTGATAGCTAATGTGATTGTGGGGCCAGGACGAACATTGCTTCACATCTGCATTTTAAGATGCTGGAATAAAGGAACCGAATTAGATTCCTGCATGAAATTGTTGAACCAAAATGAAAATACCTGTGATCCTATGTTTCTAAAGACACGGTTTTCAATTGGTTAATAGAAGGAATTAGAATTTACAAGGGATCCATAGGGGAAGGGAGGGAAAAAATGAAACAAGATGAAACCAGAGAGGGAGACAAACCATAAGAGACTCTTAATCTCAGGAAACAAACTGAGGGTTGCTGGAGTGGTGGGGGGTGGGAGGGATGGGGTGCCTGGGTGATGGACATTAGGGAGGGTATGTGCTATTGTGAGCGCTGTGAATTGTGTAAGACTGATGAATCACAGACCTGTACCCCTGAAACAAATAATACATTATATGTTAATTAAAGAAAAAAAAAGAATTTACAAGGGAGCAAAGAAAGAACAGAGGGAAATCAAAGAAGATGAAGGCGATAAAACAAGGGAATAGGAAATGGGAAAATAAGAATACATTGTGGAGAATTTACCTTTTAAAATAATCTTGATTTACTCAAAATTGTAATGCTATTTTCTAAATTAATTTTAGAACACCTAGATTATTTATTTTCCAGGTGATACGGGTTAGCATTTTCCCATATTTAAGGGTTGTTTGTGTATGGTGTGTGTGTGTGCGTGCCCTGCGCACAGTCTCTGATGGTTTTGTTTGAACACATATCAAAATGAATTACTTTGCAAGACTGATGAAATACTAGAAAAACAGGCCCACTAAATATGTGTGATATATATACAATGGAAGATGTATCATATAGACATTTTTCAACACACACTATCAGCATACAGAGTAAGACACTTTAATCACAAGTTTTAGAGATACTTTGAAAATTTTTTTTCTGTATGCATATTCCATACCCTAAGGTTGCTTTAGAAGAGGTGATCATGGTTTTCTTAATATGTTATAGCTATTGCCATATATACATTTGTGTGTATATAACATATATATAAAAATATTGCATGGCATTATAATATTTTTTGTCAATAATTCCTCAACAAATAAAAGCTACACGTGGCCTAAAACATTCCCTAGACTTGACTGCATTTCTCAGATATTTAAAATCACTTCATATGTTTCCATACCGCTTACAAAATTTACTAAAATTTATTAATTCATAGTTTAAAGATGTTTAAATCTGAAACTTGTTGCATCTATCCTGTGAGTAGAAGAATATTATCCAAATTTTTTATTTTTATTTCCTACTGGCACATTAGTAGAGAATATTTAGCTGAAAGAACATCTTGAGTTGTTTATGTACGCAATATATTTGGTAATGTGACAGAGTTGTTGTTTTTTTTAATTTACTTATGCTAGAAGGTAAACTTCTTTGCTACTTAATATATAAAATAACCAAAGCAGGAAACAAAAAATTTAAGAAACAGAATTTCGATAACTTTTTAAATACATTTTTCACTAAATTTATTATTGATATCATCTAGGATATACCTTTTCCTAACATATCATTATAGCATTAGTTTAAATAATATTTGTGTGTGAAAGAGAAGCCAAAAAACTAAAGTAGCAACACACAAAAAAATCTCAAATTAGAGCACCACCTTGTTCATTTGGAGGAAAAACATGACCTTGCTACATCTTGTTGGGTATTTTGCTGCTGCCCATTTTTCTTACACGGCTTTTCTTCTTTTTTCGCTTATTAATTACATTACAACTCTGTATTCTACCAAGGAGGATCACACTCTAAAGCAATATCTCAATTATATATCTTCTTTGACTTTTCCTTCTGCCTAAGAATTTGAGCTTTTTAATTATATTTAACCTGAAGACATATATCATGTGTCCTTTCTGAATACATTTTTCTATGTTCTGTGAGACAGTTCTAGAAATTTTTTTCCAACTTTTCTATTTCTGCCATAACACTAGTATATGACTTTGAGTTGGGTTAAACACTTGTTTAAATGCTTTTTAAATAATTTGTTCTCTCCTTTTTTCTTTCTCTCCTTCCTCTGTCTCTTCCACTGTTTCTTTTCCAGATTATTAGTTTATTAAATGTCTTCACACCCCAGAAAACATTGGAGGAATTCCAAGATGTGTAAGTAACAAAACTCATGAAGGAAGAGAGAACACAGCACTCTCATAACTCAAGGGAAATTGACAAAATCAATGGATGAAATCCCTTGTAGAGATTAAAGGGAGATAAGAGCTAACAGCAAATGAAAGGGATCTGGTGATAGGATAGAAGGTTCTGTTTCTGGTGTTACTTCCTGGAAAGACACTCCTGCTTCTTTCTGGCCTTCTGGTGCTGGTGCTTTATTGTCCAATGTTCTTGGTTCAATCAGAGAAGATTTATTATTTATCATGTATTTTTTATTATCAATTGACTCTGAGCTTTCTGGGATGAATCTATTCACTTTGAGAAATAAATTATAAGAGGGACATGTTAAAAATCATCTTAAAATCTTTATTTCTATTTCTGTGGTGTCTTTGATTTTGTGCAAAAAGAATCTATCTAGTGACATTAACAGAGGAGAGGAAGTGGATCCTAGTACATTGTCTTATTTGACACAGATACGTTGCATTTAATAGAAGATGCTATTCTGATTTTTTTCTTGTTTGTAATCATAATACTCCAGAAAGAACTCAGGGAATTCAGGGAAAAGTGAGGACAAGGTGAAGGTAGAAAATATAGGGGCAGGAGCTACACACTAGTAAATGCTGCTTCTGCTAGTCACCTTGTGGTAGAGTTACCATGGCCAAATGTGTGCAAAAATAGTTGGAAGTTCTTCATATTCTTAATTGAGTCAGATGTAGAGCTGGGAAGTTTGGAAGACTTGCAGATTTAGGCGGGGATTCTGACCTCTTTGAAGGACTTCACAGATCTTGTGATTTGGAACTAATCTTGTGGATTTACCTTCCAGTTACTTAGTAATGGAACTGATGGATGCCAACTTGTGTCAGGTGATTCAGATGGAATTAGACCATGAACGAATGTCTTACCTGCTATACCAAATGTTGTGTGGCATCAAGCACCTTCACTCTGCTGGAATTATTCACAGGGTAAGAATACCCTCTCCAGAATTATAATTAAGGTGTTTTTGGAGAAGAGAAAGACCAATTGTAGGTTATTTTCTTTATGTAGGAAGGGTAGGTTGAATATAATGTACTTCCTCATTTCTTTTAAAATAGAATTAACACAAAGTTCACTAATGTATAGAAGAAAATTTTAGCTACACTGTAGCTGATTTTGTTTGCATTTTGTTTCAGCTCATTGAGAGTCCACTTCTGAGAAGCCTCATGTTTTCTAGCCTCTTGATTGGCAGAGGTCATATGTGTAGCTGGAATAAGACTGTTCGTTTCCACAGCTTGTTTCTGGCAGCATTAAGACAGCTGCCCTGATCTGCTTTTCTGTCAGGCCTAGAAATGAAAAATAAGATGAAAGGTTTATGTTGCCACAAGGAAAAACCTAACAGATGACAATAAATGACATGTTATTTATTCTAAAACCTCTTCCCAAGATGATCCTAAATTGTAAAATTCATAGTCCAATTCCCTTCTGGGCTTAAGAAGTTTTTGAAGATATCTTAAAAATATCAAAAAACCATTGTAAACTTCTTTGGGGCAGTAATCATTTGCTTCATATAGGGCTTTGCAGTCAAGGGGGGGCCCTCTTCTGTACTATTGCAAGACTGCCATATTGATTGAGTAGATAGAAATCGTATGTTCCATTTGCTGCTGGCTTTTAATTTCTTCTCTTGTTCCTACCATCAGGATTTAAAACCAAGTAACATTGTAGTCAAGTCTGATTGTACATTGAAAATCCTCGACTTTGGACTAGCCAGGACGGCAGGCACAAGCTTCATGATGACTCCTTACGTGGTTACACGTTATTATAGAGCCCCCGAGGTTATTCTGGGAATGGGCTACAAGGAGAATGGTAAGGAGGCTTCTGCATAGCAGCCACACAAACCATGAAGAAAATGTGTATACATTTTAGATGGTCAAGGGCAATGTTCTCTCTCATGTATATGAATATATATTTTTAATAGGGCTGCCAACTTTCATATTCAGAAGGTTTTAAAAAATAATACTGGGAAGAATCACTCATAAAAAATGTGAAGGATATTTCTTAAAGTAAGCTTTACTACGAGAACACTAACATGTTATGGCCAAAAAGAATTGTGGATGGAATCTGATTAAACAGTCAAGCAGATATTGATTAGCACACATGCTGTAGATATTGAGACAAATTGCTGTTTGGGTTGGAGCTTAGCTCAAAGTGAGTATGAAAACAGGAAGTAGTCTCTTACATTTAGCCATTTGGCTTCATGGCTATCTTAGATTGATGGCTCTAGTCCTAGGAAAAGACAAAAAGATGTCTTAAGTCCTTGGAGCAAGAATCTTACAAATGCTCAAAGTATAGTCAATTTAGAATAATCCAAATTGTTCAAGTTAGGTAAGAGTTTCTTTAATGCTTTAAATTGCTCTGTGAGTAATATTTAGGAGAGCAATTACCTAGTAAATTTTTATAAATTCCAAATCATGGAGAAAATATTAAATTTTATATTACTGCTTTCATTAAAAAATCTAGTATTCATGAACATTTTAAAAGAAAAGAAAGATTCTTCAAAATGTATTACAATTTGATTTTATTAAAGACTTTATAAGACACTTATTAAAATGCATTGCCATTTATTATTTTGAAAAGAATACCTCTAACAAGTAATGTAGCATATTAAAAAATATATCTAATAAATTTAAGAATTAAAATTGTTTTAAATTAGGATTGTATATATATGATCAATGTACCTTGCATGGTTATTTTATGTTTTATTCTATTTAATTCCTAGCAGTCTATTTTTATAAATTTTATAAAAATAACTATCCATGTATTTTTATGTGCAGGTGCCAAAGGGTAACTTTATGAAAATTCCCTGGTCACCAAAGTTTTAAAAAATTTCATTGTGTACTTTCAATTTAGAAGAAGGCCAATACTTCTGTGTATTTGTGCAGAGGAAAGGGAGAAGTCAGCTCTTAGGAAGGTCAGGTTCACTCTGGTGAGCGATGGCAGGATTCTGTTACCCTTTAACTTGGAACAGGCAAATCTAGTCCTCTTCCCAAGGTATAATACCACATCTAACTTACTTGGAAAAGAAGATGTTTGTATACATTTTTCACAGGTTATTTGTAAAAATTCAAAGGGGAACCAATTTAAAAAAATCAAGAAATCAAGGCTCTACAGAGGTCTGGGGGTAGGGTCTGAATTTGCCTATTATGGCGTTATGGATCTTGGCTGCACAAATGGCATGTAATTTCTTCCCTCTTCCTTCCCTCACCAGAAAAGGTTGCAAGTTACTGCCTTAGCGTTTCCACTTCTCTAGATCTGTGAAGGTATAGCTAGCACCCTTGTGCTGTGCTGCCCTCTTGCCCTATGAGTGCAAAGTTATCATGCAGAAGAACCCGCTTGTTCCTCCATCAGGCATGCCCAGCTGTCCTGTGCACCTACCCCTGCCTTCCTTCCCCAAGGAGCATTTCAGCCTAATGTTTTTGCCCCAAAGTTCCCTTGGTCCTTACTAAAAAGCAAGTTGGAAGAGGGTAAAGATTGGTAAGAGAAGGTGAACATGTTTGGTTAACAAGTATGACAATTGAGAAATAAACAAAACAAACAAACAAATAAATAGAACAATTTTTAAACACCTTTAATACTTTTTTTGCTTTACTTCCAGATGATTCCTTTATACATGTGTTAATTGGTCATATCTTTATTTTGAAATACTTCAAATAGAAACTAAAACTGATGTTTATTTACAAGGATAACTTCTGAAGGAAAAACTAAGTCCTGAACACCAGGGATTCCAATACATCTGCCTTGAAACCACGGTTTCAGCTGTTTCCTAGTTTCTTGGATTTGCTTGCATGTACCTTGTTTTGAACCAGCCAACCAACTAACCAACCAACCAACCAAACAAACAAAAACAAAGAGAACAAAAGAGTGGTCTCTCGCTGCCGTTGCCCCATTCCACGTAACTGAGTGGAATAGGAAATGGAAACAGCCACCCCTCCAGGTTGATTAAAATTATTTTTGTTACATCCAGCAAATGGTCAAAAACCCCTATGTCTTTTAGCCGCCGCCTGCTATGGAAATACTTTTGGTGTAGCTTCTGTGTTTCCATGTCACTCCTTTATGGCACTACAGAGGCAATCTAAGATACCCATAAAGTAATTTTTAAAAATTAATTTGAGTTCTCATACTAAACATTGTTAATGTCATATTACAGTGCTGGTTTTCATTTGGGGGTAACTTTTGGTGGGAGACAAAAATTGTACCTTCTAATCAAACTGTTCTTTTTCCTCCTCCTTCAGAGATCAATTATCTTAGTTAACTTTACTTTCCTCCCTTTTCTTCACTTCCCTCTCTCCTGTTCTAGTGGATATATGGTCTGTGGGATGCATTATGGGAGAAATGGTTCGCCACAAAATCCTCTTTCCAGGAAGGGACTGTATCCTTGTACCTTTTGCTGCAGCTTTACCTGTTTTGTTCTCTCTCCCTTTAAACACATAATGATTTTACCAGGAGAGTAAAGATAGAAGCAAAAAGTTGGGTAAGTGGTGTAATTGTGATTAAAAAACAAAGTGATGATTTATATAATCTGACCAGTACTGAATACTACCTACTGCAATGATTTGTTTTAATTAAATTTTCAGTGGGCTTTTTTTCTTTAAATTATTTTCTTGTCTGTAACTCAAAATAGCAATGCTATTTTTTTTCATAAATAAGAGAGGTCACCAAATCCCAAATTATTAAAATATCTTTATAATTAGCAAAAGAAGTCACTATTTGCAAGTATTTTCCATCTTTTTTCTAAAGCCATTTTATGCTTCTACAACATTTAGGCATAATAATTTCTCTCCTTGCTGACATCCTAAGCTTCTTTCTAGAGTTTCATTGATTTGAATTACTCTTGACACTCTCCAGTCTTAAATAGGTCAATATAGCATATCCTCCGTACAACATGAACTTCCACATTTAAAAATCATAATTATTACGCAGATTGCCAGAGATTAGCTGGGTTTAAAATAGGCTTGGAGATATGACTGAGACCCAGATAATTGCTTTTCCAATGAAATTTAGAATTTGAAGAAGTAGTGTTTATTTGAGTTCTACCACTAAGTCCTGTACTAGATTCCATCAGGAATTTCTGGGAGAGATATCTATGATTTAGAATTATTAAATGAGCTGGCATATTTCTGAAATGACAAAAAGTTCATTCTCTAACAAAGTCACATATTAGTGTTTGTACATATAGGTAATAAAGTTTATATATTAATAGAGAATATACTTTGTACATATAGAAATACCCTGCTAACACACAATCATGCAAATCTATGTACAACAGTTGCCAACTTTAACAGTGATAATGCAAGATTGAGTTCAGTATATTTATTATATGTGAAATTTTTTAGAAACTGCCAATAAATATGTGGTCCATAATTCTATTAAATATTGTATCTGATTAATAAGAAAGCTCTATTAAGGAACTCTTTTATTATGTAAGAAAGATTATAGTTGTTATTTAGTAGACTCAATGAGAAGTTTATACCACCATGAGCACTCATTTATGTAGGCATTTATTTATTCTGCTGGATATCAGTAAGATACTCTCTAAATTCCAATAGTAAAGCAAGAGTAATGACATCTTCTAGAACTATTCTGTCCATTAGGTAGCCACTAACCACATGTGGCTATTTAGCACTTAAATTATGACTAGTCTGAATTGAGATGTATTTTATGTGCAAAATGCATACTAGATTTTGAGGCTATAAAAAGAAAGCATTTAAAATATCTCAATTTTTATATTGATATTAAAATGATAATAGTTCATTTTACTTTTATTTTAAATTATTCACATTTTGAGGATAAATTATATATCCTAGGTAGTTGACTTGAACATTATTATAATTCACATTCATATGTAAATGTATTGATTTCATATAAAAGTAGAAGTGCGTGTATGTATGTATCTGTATATGCTTTTATCTTTGGGGTATAACATATTTCAGACCAAAAAAAGGAACTTCTCAATCAGTACTCAAAGTGAAGTTGCACAGCTACATCTTTATAATGCACTAGTTAGTGGAAGATAAAAAGTCACAGAATATCTCATTTCCATGTGGTGTTTTTATAGGTCACTTGATTGCTATGTGCCACGGTTCTCTGAGATCTAATATAGCTCTTCATTTGTCAGGATTACTTTTGTCCTATTTTAGCAGTATTAAATTTAAAAGCAAATAAAATTAGAAAAAGCCAAAATACCCTTCAGAAAAAAAGGCAAACAAAAATAATAGCATCATATTGGTAATTCTCTATTCTTCCAATGATTGTTTCTTTGGAGGTCTTTTTTCCCTTTTATTATGGTTTGTTTCAGGAAAATATTTGGAACTGAAAGTAAATTGTGCTAAAATCAATACATAGAATATATATCCTTGATAAAAGTGATCCTAGAAATTGAATAAACTCTAACACAAAAATTTAGATTGTGATAAGGATTTGCATTCAGTATTCTTTTATCTCAGTGATGATCATATAAAATAATGGTCTTTGATAGCCTACTGCCATATATGATAATGAGCTTGCATACAAACTTAAAAGTCAATGGAAAAGTTACATAAAGACATTTATAGTGGAAAACATCTTGCTTACGTTAAATTTTACTTAAATAGGAGTAAATGATTTCCAGATAAATCATGTTAGAACTGCCATCTTTCCGAAAATGTTTCCATTTAGATTTAAATCCTTAGTTCATTTTACCTATAATTAAAATTATAATTTAATTTCTTAAGTCATGACCACATTTAAAAATTAAACTGTAGTAACCCTATTGAAGAATGGATTACATGTACTCAGTGTTTTTGAGTGGAATTGTTTCATTAATCTTTACATGAAGTTATTATAAGCTTATGATTAGAGTTTCCCACCAACAATCGAGAGATCAGAGCATTGAATTAACTTCACTAACCATGATGATCAGATACAAGTTTTGGGGTTGATGGAGTATTTATGGAGAGAAGAATCATACCAACGTTTTATCAAATTTGAAATGATTTCAGCATTTAATGGAAGTAATATCAAAGTGTAACATATGCTAATTGATTTCTTCCAAGATTCTTCAGAGACATAAAAAAAAGCAATCATAAGTTCCCTTGACTTTCCCTTATAATTATTCAGAGTAATTTCTATTAAATTTCTCTGAGGCTGAAAAATTATTTGATAATACTCTATCATCATAATTAACAGTATTCCTCTCTCCCACAGAACTTTATAATGTTCTTTTTCTTAATCTGAACCTACAGCAAAAATAGTAAAACACCTTGACAAATTGGGAAATTTTATGAAATTATTAGTGATGACTGAAGTTTTAGCTATTTGCCTGCATTAAAACTGTCTTTGCATTTTGAGAAACACTGTGTGGGTTTCTTAGCTATTGATATGATCCAGATGATATCACAGGTTAGTTTCTTGATTATTAAAGTGCTGGCAAAATACATACATATATATGTATTTGCTTTTCCATTAATTTGCTGATTTTTTAATATCCAAAGGATTATTTATAAAATATTTGTTTTTATTGTGTGAATAGTTTAATTATAAAAACATACACTATTACACACTTGATTTTTATTACAGTGTTATGATTAAAACCTATTTCATAGGCTATATTTTGACATATAGTATTACTAAAAATTCTTTGGCCCATGACAAATTTCAAGTTAGCAGTAAATATATGAGGTCCATTATTTTCTTTAGTCCAACGATCATAAAAGAGGTATCAGTCACTTTGCATTTCATTCAGATTTTGTTTCTTTCAACAATAACTTATAGTAAAGTTATGCTTTCTTAGAAGTTGTGTTTTTCTTTAAAGGGGTATTTAGTCACTGACTCCCTCCGGCACCCCAAGCCCCAACTAGGGCATGCCATATTCTTGATTACTGAAGTTTCATAATACCAGTAGAATTTTCATATAATACAAATTCTTTCCTGACGTCTACTTCTTTTAGATATATTCTTTTTACCTTTTGTCTTCCATTCTACTTCAAATGGCAACAGCTTCTTTGAGCAAGCCCTGTGAAGTCCTTTATCTAGGGTTCTTGGCCAGAGTTCCCTGGACCTGGGTGATATTAAAAAGAGGCACACTGCATTCATTTGAAATTGCTAGACCTCAAGATATTATCTCCAATTAAGGCTGGATCAGACTGCTAAAATAGCCCCTTTTTCTTTTCCCTCTGAAGACATGAGAAATTTCAGTAAGAATGAAAAGGATTTACATATAAACTTGCCAAGGAGCCAAGTTATTAAGGAACAGATAAACGATCTGCCAAAAATATGTTTGAATAAATAAAGAAACCATCCTCAAATTTAATAAATATCTTTTTTAAGCTTGAACATTAAAATTAGGAATAATCAAAGTAAAGTGAATAAAAATTAGAGGTGTGGATTATTATATCCATCTAACACAGATATTCTCACTCCTTACCTCTTTGAAATAACCATGCTTACTTTCTAATAAACTTTTGCAACTAATACATTACTATAGTCTGAGTCTTTTACCTAATATTAAGGTAATACAGTATTATCTCAAACCATATATGATTTATGACTTTAAATAAAGGTGTGAAGTAAAACTTCAGTCATTCTTTCATACCCATAAGCACTTTGCAGATGATCATTAAAAAAAAAAGCCTTTTCACCTTTATTTCTTTGTACTTGTTTAAAAGAATATATTTCACCATTAATTTGTTTATTACTCTTTTATTATTATTTTGAGAAAATCTGAGTAAGACAGGAATCACTAGAGTGGGAACTCCAGATCGAAGTGATCTAAAAAGATGGAAGGAGGACATAGTTATAAGAGGAAAATCCCTCTCCCGGGAAGTTGAGACTAGGCCAGAGTACACCAGAGGGCGGGATAAAGCATGATGGTCATAAAAGGAGTTCAGAGAGATAGATCGCAAGGGAGCAGCGAGCCAGGATGGACTTCCAGGGTGGAACGGAAGGCAAGAAGTTGAGGAGCTGGACCTTGACCCCTTGATGTCTCAGAGAGTAGCTACTGAGCGCTAGCATTCACAAAACTCCACTAGGACTACCCAGAAGTTCCCTGTCTCCTGGAAATTCATACAGAAAAGTTTAAAAGCATGTTATTTTTCCCTATCCCTCTATAGTTCTGTAGACAACGTACTGATTTTTTTTTTTAAATGAAGTGAAATATTGAGGGGAAAACTACAGACAATAAAACACATTCTTTAGTTATTACTATGATATTCCATTGAAACTGTCCTGGCCCCAGGTGGCCCTTAGGACAGAGTTCGTGAACAGTGATACCTACTGTGTGCAACACTCTTTCTCCCTTCTGCCGTCCAGTGAAAGTCAAACTTATACTGCAATAGGGCTCCAAGAACTGGCTTCTGGTCCTGTTCACTTTGGTCATGTGAGCCCCCAAATTTT